ACAAATTAAGACTGGCCGCCAAAACTGGCAGGAAATACCCCCTTAAAATTTCAGCTTTCTAGCTTTTCTGGCCCCCGAGTTAGCAACTTACTGGAAAAAAACTTTCACGGTCCCGTACGTGGGTACCACACTTACCCGGGGGCTGGGTTTGAGCTCATTAATACCTATTTGGACGGGGAACATCCCCTTTAAATTTCAGTCTTCTAGTTTTTCTGGTTCGCGAGTTATCAACTTATCCGAAAAAGATTTTGGCGGGCTTGTACGGGACTACCACGCGTACCCGCGGGCTGGTTTCCAGCCCACCAATATCTACTTGAATGGGGAACATCCCCTTAAAATTTCAGCCTTCTAGCTTTTCTGGTTCGCTAGTTATCAACTTCTCCGAATAAAATTTTGGCGGGCTCTCACGTGGGTACCACGCGAGTAAGACCGCCCATTTCGGGGAAGCGGGCCCGTACGTGCATGTAGATTATGTTCCCAAAGTTTCAGCCCTATAGCTTTTGCCGGTCTCGAGATGAAAAATCGGTACAGACGAACACACAGACACACACAGACAACCCCTCGTCAATATACGTTTTCTGCATTGCATAGCTGCAAAAAACGCATAAAACGCACAAATAAATTAAAACAAGCCTGGGCGCAGGAATAAAATCAAACTCAATCAAGAATGCACCGGGCTAGCCGGTGCGAGCGTTTCGCTCTGCTTGTTTCACAGATTTCGTCTTTTGGCTTCTCTTTTTTTTTCATCGTACTAGTAGGATTAATGCTCACGCTGTTGTATTATCTATTATTTACTTATGTTTTTTTCAAAGATCATTGTTAGTAGTTATTGGTTCACATGGTAGTAAACTGCGGTAATGGTTGTTACATATTTGTAATATCACAAACATCGGTGTGATGTGTGTGTGTGTGCGTGTATGTGTGCGTGTGTGTGTATGCGTGTGTGTGTGTGTGTGTGAGTCGGTTTCTCGATGATATTTCGTGTTTACCGCTACGCATCTTGAGATGGATTTGTATTTTCAAGACATAATCCGATCTCGTCTGCTACTAGAAGTGGATTTTTTATTCTGTATGCAAAGAAGCAGTTCTGTAATTCAACCAATTTCTGCGTTGTAACACGCCCAGACCGGCTCATGGGAACTTGCACCGTAAGTTATGACGAAATTGCTTACAGCAAGATTAGTGGCTGAATTTGCATTGGTAGTGGGTACAATTGTCTTCCAAACTTTTAATCCAAAATTCTGCCAACATTTTTTTTAAAAGAGGATTTGTTGTTTCAGTAATGCTATAATTGAAATCACCCAGTATAGGTTTCCGTCTATCTTCTACAGAACATTTCGCTAGAAATGACCGAATGCCGCTGATCGTTACTCCGGGACTTGCGTGTACTCTGAGCAAATTGCGCAGTTTTAGGAGAGTTACATCGACACGGTCCTCACTTTCTCTAATTCTTATGGAGGCTGAGTCGCTGACGTCCCACAGCATTTGCTGCGACACGAGGCAGCATGCTTCGCAGGCTCTTCTTGCCAGTGGATGCGGTCAGTGCGTACAACCGTTTTGTAACTACTGATGTAAATTTCATCTGCTGGCACTGCTCAAATCTCTCCGAGGAGTATGACACTGCTTGCTGGGTAAACGGTGTCATTCTGTATTTGGTTGCGGTTCTTTGCAAAGCTCTGTATATTGTGGTGTACAGTCTGGACAGCGCAGCGTTTTGTTCGAAGTTTAAAGTGCGGTTGAAATAAGCACTGCTCCTGTCGCCTCATTTCAAGTCGCAATGGATGATCCCGGTATGGCTGGCGACACGCATATAGAGGGGGTCAAATTTTTGTGTTAGTGCAGTGTGCAGTATCAATTGATCTCATTGCTTGGTGCAATGTGCTGTTTCTTTCCCGCAGCTCTTTAACAATATTTTCATTAGTATTGCTGGTCCCTGTCCGACTTATTAATTTAGCCTATTACGTATGAGGTGCAGGCGTGCGGATCAAGAGCATACTGTAAATCCATATTTGATCTCATCGTTGTTGGAACTTTTGGAGAGTATGGATTGATCTTTGTGTCGGAGGAGCGGCGTCTCAAAAAAATTTGCATCTTTGAAGTTTGGACGAATAGGCAGGAGATATCGGTCCAGGAACTAAACTGAATATCAGTGTAAATACATTTCATCGTGGTGTAAAACATTTTTTATTTGCCCAAGTAATCTTTTCAGTCGTTGTAGTTCAGGCTCATCAGTGTTGTACGGAAGGAATTCCAACTAAAGGAACTAAGACTGGCCATCAAGACTGTGAGAAAGCATTCGTTTATAACTTCAGCCTCCTGGCTTCCCTGGTTCCCGAATTAGCAACTTACCCGGATAAAAATTTTCATGAGCAGAACCACGCACTCTGACGGACTGGGTTAAGACTCATTAAGAAATACGTGGACGGGCAACAATCCTTTAAAATTTCAGCTTTCTGACTTTTCAGATTCTTGACTTTGCAGTTTACTCGCCAAAAACTTTGACGGATCTGTACGTGGGAGCCACATGGGCAACAATATTTATTTTGGGGAGAGGAGTCCAACGTCCATGTAGATTAAAGATCCTGAGTTCCAGTCTTTTGTAAGCCTTGAGATGAAAAGGCCTTGAGATTTTGTAGGCCTTGAGATGAAAAACGGTACAAACTAACATACAGACACATATACACACAAATAATCCTTCGACAATATGCATTTTTGCATAGCATTAATAAAAATGGTGCATGCATGTGGTGCAGGAATATGGTACCACTTGGCGAAATGCAGTTCGGAACAATAGTAGCTAGTGGAGGAGCTGTGTACAGGTTAACATCAGCACTTCACAACGATGTCGGGAGCCATTTTGATTTCACTTTGCGGTTCAACGTATCCCGCTACAGATGGATGGAGCACGTGTTCGATGACTCTGACGAATGGAAACAAACCTTGTGACTCGGATCAAAGAAGTACATTTTGTCCCTGCGACTGACGCATACAGTAAGCACTTCCCCGATGTGGAGTGCCGACAATACACAAATAAATTGCCCTACAAATACGAAATATTTGTTGCGGGGAGTCCCACTTTAGCAGTTTTTACATAAATTTTACTTTCATTCCACACAAATTCTTTTGAAGGAACAAGCACACAGGAACATGCCCACATAAACCTAACACAGATATATACAAATAAACAAACACACGCAAAAATAAATACGTCTGCACAGAGAGACGCATGCCCAGAATCGTTGCTTTTACCTTGGTAATCCACAAGCCGGAGTAGATAATCACCCTCTTCCCTCAGTAATACTCTGGCATCCGTGAGTGGCAAAAAACCGTGCAGTATTTTCCGACTCATTACTTCCGGATCGACGCGCACCTCGAACATTTGAGTGGTCGATGATGAAGCGGCCATTTTTGCTTTCAACAAGCAGCATAAAACGGGGGCGCAACCTTATGCAACGATAGTACTAGAAAATGTGATAAGCGGACCGCATCTTCACTTTTATATACCCAAACAATCGAATTATCCCATACACTTTTGCATACAAAAAAAATTTTTTTATGCATTTTTATTGCATCTTATGCAAATTCAACCCAGGTTGAAATGCACCAGGCTTGCCGGTGCGATCATTCGTTTTTATGCGTTTTTGCCTATATGCAAATTGCAAAAACGCATATTGGGA